ATGTAGAAATGGGGTGTTGCACTGGAGAAAAGGAATGGTATTTTTTCTGCATGAGAGGGAGAAAATACCGAAACAGCGCAAGGCCGAACAGAGTAACCCTCACAGGGAATGGATTCTGGAAGGCAACCGGCATCGACAAGCCTATTTATTCATCAAAAACCGGCGAGAAGAATAAATGCATCGGCCTCAAGAAATCGCTGGTATATTACATAGGAAATGCCGGCAAAGGAACAAAAACAGAATGGATGATGCATGAGTATAGGTTCCCGCCGAGTGGTGGTTCGGGTTCGGGTTCGGGTTCTGAAAGCAGTATCAGCAGTCAAGAAGCAGTGAGTTCTTATTACTACCCATATATGCATATTAGCTTCATATTTTTTGCTTCATTTGTTACTTTTGGCGTTTTGTTTATGGTTTTGTGTATTATTGGTCAATCGGTAGGTCTTTTGTTAGGTTGTCTAATGGTAGACATTATATTCTTCCAACAAATACATATTTTGGTATTCAATTGTCATATTTTAAAATAAAAAAGTATTCATGCCTGACGATTAGGCAACCTAACAGCAACATTTGTGTTCTTCAATATTATTATGCATGGTAATGTGGGTTTAGTTATTTTGTTCTTGTTTCAGAGTTTATCCTCCAAAACTATTGTGCTGAACTTTTAAGATATATATTGGAAGTTATGGCATGTTGTCCATTGCAAATGGAGCTGGAAGAGTCATTGTTGACAATTCTCCTGGCATAGTGCTAATAATGGACTAAATCAAAATGGCTCAATTAAATTCTAGTGTTTCTTCTATTAGTGAAGTTTCTAGAAAGAAAAAAATATATCAAACGGCGCAATGCATCTTGGGTCGCTACGGAAACAGCCTCCTTGTATAATTACAAGGGTAAGGTCCGCGTACAACTGACCCCCCAGACCCCAACTTGTTGGGAATATACTAGGTATGTTGTTGTTGTTTATTGGAAGTTATGGGATGCTTGGATGTAAGATGTTTTGATTTTGTTTGGATTTTTGGGTTTGTTATGGTTAATTTTGAAAAAAATGGTATGGTTCATTGTTAGTGGGATTTTGAGTTATATTAAAATAATATTTAAAATAAAATAATTAAAGTTTATTTGATGTAAAAGTAGATGAGAGGTGATTTGAAGGATGGTTAGTAACAATTATGTTAGTTAATGAATAGTGAATTAAAGTTAATGCAACGTGTAAGAATGATTGAATGGTATTTAGTTATATTGATAATATTGAGGATAGCCTGGTAGAGTTAAAGTTGAGTTAAAAAAGTATTTGATTAAAAATGATTAAATTTTTTTGGAAAAAAAATGGTATCAAGCTATATGATTTATACGGATTATTGTAGAGAACTATTGTGTGGAACTTGGTCATTTTTCTCTGTCCATTTTCTGTTGTGTTAATTTGACCATTTAGAAAGGAAATTTCTGGACTTTCAAGAAAAGGAGTTCCAAATTGGGAAAGTGGGTTCTAATTAAGATATTTGCATAACTTATTACTACTATTTTACAGAGATTATAGTCAACACCAACTCTTGGTTAGCCTTCTTATAAATATTTCTTGACCAACTTTGTGCAGGAAATTTGGACACTATGTAGAATTTTCAAAAGGGATTCACCATGCAAGAAGTCCACACCACCAGTCAGCAGAAACACTGCAAATTCAAGAACACCCACCTTGCAAGAAATAGCACGCCAAATTTTCGATAATACTCCAGACGAGATATGGACCGTTGGATCTCCGACTGCATCATCGGGCCTGGATAGTTGGGCCAGAAATGATAATGAAGCAATCAGAAATGGAAACTGGGATGAGCTTGGACCAGTTGTTAGATTTCATGGAGTGTAATAGTAGTTAGTAACTAGTGTGTATACCAGTGCAACGCAGTATACCCATGATTCGATGCGCAGAGTTTAGGCAATAAATAAACAGAATAAAATAGTGTTTAATATTATATTCAATTCTAATTTGTTAATTGATTATATCTACTACTTTAAAACTACTTGCATCTAAATTAAATCAAGGAACAGTTGCGCACACCACAACTATCGACAGAAGATTAAGCCGAGACTCCCCACATCGCAAAATATTCACCATTCAATCTCATGCAAATATAACAAAACACATGCCATACATAAAACATCTATCGACAAAAACAAGAAAAAATCGCAAATATGTGAGTGAAGACATGTATATATGTAAAGCAAAATATTGAAAATTGAACTGTACCTAAGGCTGATCAGAAGATCCACGGTGGTCCTGATGGCCGTTGACTGGGAAGTTGACCACGGAGATGTCGAGGCTCATCCTATCCGCATCGGGCCCCACCTCCCGAACATCGGCTATCCGGGCCTCGGTCGTGGCCCTAGAGATGCTCGTGCATGCTTTATCCACGTTCTCTTGAGATGGGTTCATGTGCTTTGTTAGTGTTAAATCGCCATCCATGCCAGAACAAGGCTCGGTTTTCTCGGTATGGACTTGCATGGTCTCAACTTGCTGCCTATATCACATAGGGGATTGGAAGTTCGGTAAAATATTGATTATTTAAATTAAGAAAGGCAATTGTTCAACTAATGAAGCTCGACAAACAGCATCTTTTTACACTAAGTGTGTGCCAACAGAGATATGTCTAGTGAGCACAACTGCTTTCGTATTTTGCCTAATTGAATTTTTTTTAACTCATTTGTGACAACATTTGTTGTTGATGAAAGATTGAAACAATGGTTTAATTCATTTATTAAAACCGGAACTATAGTAACAGTCGGAGGTACGACGAGCAAAACTCATTCATGCAAGCAATAGAACTAAAAGTATAATAGTTTTGATTATTGATTTCATAAAGGAAAAAGAAAAAAAAAAAAAGAATGGAGGAAGAAGAATCTTGTATTACCGTTTGAGTTGCTCTTGCAATAAATTTACATATGTATGCAATTCCTGTTTTTCCTTGGCAGCAGCAGATTCTTTCTCTATGGCTTCCTTTATTCTAGCTTCGGCATCAGCCTCCGTAACCCGGACCTTCTCGTCAGCTCGGATGACAGCTCCTTCCAATATCACCTCTCGTTCTCTAGCTTTTGCAAGCTCCGAACGCCATAAATGAGCCTCTTGAAGAGCTGAGTCCCTTTGTGTTATCAAGTTATCTTTTTCTGTGCTAAGATTCAGGACTTTCTCTTCCAATTCTCTTATCTATATGAAATAAAATACAGTGCTAAACAATATTCATTTGTACTCGTCTACTAATGCCGGTCGGAAAATACCCCCATACAAATAAATAGAATCTCGTCTCTCGTAATCGGGCGTTTTCCGCCGCCTCATACATTCTATGTTCCCGACACGGATCCTATTAAATATTTTACATTTTCTTAGGATTTCTTCCCCATACGAGGGAAAGTGCTTTGAACAAATAGCAAATGATAACAGACCTTACAGTGAAACTTTAGTGATCAAAATTCATAACAAAAAAAAAAAAACTCTGAGATGTGTTTGTAATGGAAAATAGTATCAAGGAAATTTGCATCTTTTTTTATTTTTTTTCTGATCAGAAAAATAATAAAATCTTGTGATTACCTTTAGTTTAGATGACTCCAGCTGCTTCTCAGATTCTCTTGTTAAACGTTCGACCTCCGCACAAGCAATTCTCCTTTGCTCGTTCATAGTATGAGCAGCGGATGCTGCAGCTTCAGCTGCTTCAGCAGTTTCAGTAAGTTTTTCAGCAATTTCCTTTATTGTTGAATCCCTTGCTCGAAGGTCCCTCGCCAAATTTTGCAGCTCTTCATCTTTCACTCTCAGGGTTTCCTGCAACTCAGATAAGAACGTAATTCATCAGCTTTAGAAGGTAGCAATGGTTAGAATGCCAAAACCAAAACAATTTTACCATAAAAATGACAACTGATAAATTCACATAAAGTAATGTAACTGACAGGCGAGAACAGAGAACGAGATGCCATTGGTCCAAGCTAAATAAGATTTTATTTACAGAAACGAGAGAGAGAGAGAGAGAGAGAGAGAGAGTAATATAATTATGTTAAAGGTACAGGATTTTCTCATTCAGTGTCCATTTTAAAGAGTTAAATCGGCTTTGACACAGTTTCACAAGAATATAAGCAATGATTAATGAATGAATGGCTTTGTGTGCACAACATCTTAGATATAAGTGAAACCAAATGCATTCCCTATGTCACTCTTGAACAACATCAACTTGGAAAATAAGCTGCATATACATTGTACATGAATCGCAACATTAAAGCACTAAAAACACACAATGTTGGAGAGAAGAGAGAACGGGTAATGAACGGTGTGATTTGGAGGTTCTTTGATCAATAGGAGACAAAGGGAGAGACTGGAAGTTGTCATAACGATACATCAGAGTAAGGCCTTCTTACCTTCATGATGGATAAATCATCCAAAGGAAATTCAGGTGTCTTAGTCAACATAGCTCCCAAGGCATTCCTCATAGAAATTTGCATAGCAGCTTCAATTTCTTTGGAAGCTTCCAAGGCTGTCGAATTGGCAGCAGCAACAACAGTGGCAACTATTCCTAACTTCGTGGACCCATTTCCACTTAAGGTGTTCACTGCTTCTTTATGAGCCTTCAGAACCAGTTGCGTGGCACTGCATTATGAAGGCGAAACCATAATTTGAATAGGGAAAAGTGACTAAAGAGTAGAAGTCCAAATATAAAAATAAAAATAAATATAAAAAACCTAAACAGATGCAACATGAACTTAACCTTTAAAGAAAGTGCATGAATTCTCATAGTGATCGATTTTACATTTGCATAGGCTATATTTAGGTTAAACTTGATCCGCTGTTTTTTTCCGGAAGAGTTGGTGCAAGTCTGGGGGCAAGGGGGTGGGACAGAGGGGGAGGGGAAAGCGATGGTTGGTTTTTTACAGTAGTTTGGGGAGACAATGCAGTCATCTTCAAATTCAGAAAAGGGAAGAGAGTGGTTTGGAGCAAGACTCAACGATCACTAAGTTGGGCTTAGGTGAACCTTGCTCCAAAGAGTCAGGCACATTGCCTAGTCCCGCCTCAGGGAAAGTAGAGGGGATAAGAATTTGGACCGAGGAAGGAACCTGGCCTAGTAAGGAGGTTTTGGGTGGAGCCTGACCAAGCGGCGTGCCGATTTCATGGGAGTCGGGTCCGGGGCAAGGGAGGAGGGGTTGGGTGGGCCAGCGGGAGGTGGGGATGGAAGAGAAGAAGAAGGGGTTGGATTTTTTATGTAACATGTTGATTCATCATGTCCCACATGAGAGCAATATGAACAGTATTTTGGTAAGCGTTCGAACTCGACGGTGAGTTCGACGTGTTTGTTTTCGCAAGAATGGGCTAACCTCCGAGTTTCACCTCACATATTCCACATTAAAAGGCATGAACATTCATGCAGTTCATATAGTTCTAGAGGTATAGGATAGAACAAAACATCTTGAAGAAAAATGGTGAAGCTGATGAACTGTGTAAATTATTGGGCATTCATGCGTTAGAAAGTTACAAAAGGTATAGACAGCTATCACCAAATAAATAGCATGGTATATATAGCAAGACTGCGATTAAGTTACCAGAACAACTGGTCTGGATCCGAAAAAGCCATGCCGAGAATTCATACCAAAAGAAATGGAGAAACGTGACAAAATAAAAACAAAACAAAATGGTTAAAGATAAAATAAATGTCAAAAGAGGACATTAGTAGCCATGATGTAGTGACCGGCAAGACTCCACAAAAGGAAAGCAGAAAATAGAACAAACAAGGTGAGTTTGTTGCATCTTAACAGTTATTTAAGTAAATCATATGGAACGAATGACAGAATTGACCACTCACTGTAGAGTATATACCCAAGCTTTAGCAGCACCAGGAGTCTCTGCACAAAGGAAATAATCTTTTCTCTGTGGTGTCCCAATATCTAAGAATCAGGCTAAGGATTCAAAATCTAAGTATGAGAAATAACAAAATGAGAATGAAATTTACAAAAGCGACATTAATGCATTCAGAATGTCCATATCCCAACTCCAGTCCACCAAAAAAATATTAAATATAATACAATATATATATATATATATATATATACAGAATCATTAAACAAATATGAAAAAAAAAAAATTAACAATAAAGGTGGATACAGAAACAACAGCCGTCATACTTGGGCAGCCCCCTGACTCAGGCAAAAGAAGAAAAAAGGGTGAGAGCAAGACTACTAACTTACAGAGAATCAACATATCTAATCAGAATAAAAGGGATAATATTGCCATAAGATCAAACTTTTAACAAATCTTACTGTAAATTTACAGGGGAAATTGTTATGGTGCTGTTTGCATCAAATACCATGGTTCCTTTGACTGTTGGTTCATTTCTCCTGATCCTATAGATGCAAATCAATAAATGCATAGGTAATACGTGTGTTGACCAATGAAGAACATAAACGAGAGATTGCATTCAGCTTCTTACTTGTACTCCATTTTCCCAGTTGTTGGGTCTAAAATTACCCATCTCTCATTCCACTTTCTCAGCTGTTCAGAATAAAAAAGCGAGAAACTCACTTATTCTGATAAAAAAGTTAATTAAATTACCAATATACAAATATCAACAATTAGGAAAAGTTTCACTCAATACAAACCATCAAGAGTTGAATAAACATGCACTTTTTTCTCTACAAAAAACCATAGCAACGATTACCTTAGGGTAACTGTCTTGTCAAAATACATGTTACATACAGGAATATACATGATGAAGCAGCTGAATTCTGTTTTACCATTTGGTGAAATAGAAAGTTATTCAAATAATTTGAGCAAGCTACATGATGACCATATAGTACAACAAAGACAAACCACAGGGATCAGACACCCACCTCCTTCCGCCTTAGTGCTGGAAAACAATTCGCAAATAAGGCGAAAACCACCATCAATGAAAACGACACGGTACAAATCAACCATGAATTTCCACCCAAAAAACAAAAGGGCAAAATCTCAATTCTGAGTATCTTTTTAAAATCAGTAGTTCAAAAGATAAACACACAAACTCTATAAATGAACAGTTGAAAATCAATATCAAAATCAAAACAAATGCAACTGAGTGTAATAAAAATGGTAAACGAAAACCTGGAGCATGGAATAATTACCGTCTCGGATCGCTTGAGGAGAGGCCCTTGCAGCAAATTTCTACCGGAGCTCGATGCCAGCTGCCTCTTGATCTTCTCCAAACTCGTTTTTGTATCGGCATCTCCCTGCACAACCCAACCCCCGAAATCCAAACAATTATCCACATGAAACACGCATACCAAAACAGAGGGGTTTAAATACTAACAAGTGGAACTTCGTTGGACGCCATTGATGAGCTCGAGGGAGAAGTATTGGTGGGAAAATTGAAGTGTGATCGCGAGTTAACTCATTGAGGGTTTTTGGGGGAGCATGTTTGCATATAAAAAATTTTTGTTTTGTGGAATTTTTTTGTTTAATTTGGTTAATTATAAAAAAGGTGGTATGGTTAGTTGTTAGTGGGTATATTAAAATAGTACTTAAAATAAAATAATTAAAATTGATTTAATGAAAAAGTAAGAGATAGATGATTTGAAGTGATGATTAGTTAATATAATGTGAGTGGATGAATAGTGAATTAAGGTTGATGTGGTGTGTATGAATGATTGATATTATTTAATTATAGTGATAATAGTGGGGTTGAGTTAAAAAAAGTGATTGGGTTAAAATATTGGAATTTATTTTTTTATGCAAACATAGGCGATCTACTGCTCGTTTGCACCTTGTTGGACTCGTGAGTCGTGACTCGCGTCTTTGTCTTTTCATTTGTTTTTTTTTCTTTTTTCTTTTTATGAAATATAACTTTGGTAGAAAATAATATATATTCTTATAAGCTAATCAAATAAGCTATAAGCTAGCTTATCAAATAATTTTATCAAACATAGCCTAATCTCTATGGTAACAAGTCGAGCTCAACAAGCCTAATTTTGAATACACTACATAAATACATGGAGTAATAAATTTGTGTCTAGTAAAATAAAAGCACCAAATGATTTTTTAGGTTTGACAGTAGTGTGATGTCGTAAATTACTATTTTTGATGTGCATTGCAACACGTGAACAAACTCATGCTCGTAAAACCGACCCCAAATACTTGCAAGATGCATTGGGATGGACTATCAGTGTAAATATTTCAAAGCTCAATTACAAGAACCAAACGAACATTCCAATACAGTTGAACATGTGAGCATGATAAAAATGTAATCAGATATTCACACTGTATGATACGCGTTTACATAACGATTGACATAATCTTATCCAAAACCTTACTATTGAGTTAATAACTCATCAAAATCACATTAAATCTTCTCGATATACATTGGGACTTAATTTTTCTTATTATATAAAGATACTTTGAAATAGTCTAGTTCAAAATTTTGTGCCCATCTCAAGTCGAGCGTCTCGACATACACCCCATTTGCCATGCTAGATCGAACATAGTTAGGCTGTTGAGGACTTAAGCTCGAGCCAAGATATTCCAAAAGACTGATCTTTGTCCAACCCATGAGTAACCTAACCGAGGTGTCGCATATCCATGTCTCATAGTTCGACCCAATACCTAACTCAACCATGTGGCTAGATCATTTGCTATATACTTTACCTACTAAAATATCACCGTTATCTACCCAAGATCCCAACATCACAATTCCTTTTTTTGTTGTTTTTTCTTAAATACATACATTATATTTGTCTACATATTTTTGCTATGTCATCAGTAGCAAAGTAACAAAATTGTTCGTTTAATTCATTAAAATACAATCATAAACTCCAACTATTTCAAGCGTAGGTTAGTGACTTACTTCAAACTAAAATTCAAATTAAACTATACAATCATCATTTAATGTAATTATTCTTACACATTGATGGTGTTGAAGTATAGGGGGAATCCTACCAATTGATGTGTATTTTTCAGTTCTTACAAATGAACTAAAAATAAAAAATTATAATAGAATCGAAAATAAATTACAGCTTGAAAATAGAAATATTACAGCCGAGACGAGTAAACTCTTTCCGCAAGAAGAATACGCCCCGTGTAGTGCTGACGGATCAGGCGTATCGTCCCTAACGATAGTCTCGAAATCTGTAACATACCAGACTTAAGAGCTCCAGCGAACTGGAACGTAATTGAGATCTGAACACTTAAAATTAGATTAAAAATGATCTCTCTTTTGTTATTTTGATAACAAATAATTTTTATTCAATAGAACTATCATGCTCTTTTTATTTTTTATGTGCTTTCAGCATTTTTTTTTTTTTCGCTTCAATACTCTCTGCATTATTATTACATTTTTTTTTCTCTTGTCTCTTTCTATTGTTTTTTACAATTGAACACATGCATATATACACTGAGATGATGGTGCGGAGGGTGTATTCAGATCAAGGTGGCAATTGCAGTAAGGCAAACGACACATTCCTTCACGGAATGTTTGATAGATCGATAGATTAAGAAGAATTGATTGGTACATATAGGTCCCACATTCATTTATTTGCATATAATGTGGACCCTACATTCATTTAGGCTTAGGGCACCCGCATTGCTTGTTAATTTGTCTCCGTCTAAACGGAGAGTGGGCAGTTAATGGGATGTGGCCCGTTCATTTAACGTGGGCCCTCCCTCTGCCGTTCAATACTGTGAACGCATTCATTCCTTTTTTTTTTTGGCCTTTTGTTTTGTTTAAATTGCCATTTCATGTNTATTATTATTATTATTAGTTATCTTGGAGAATAAGTTAGGAATTGTTTAATATTTAATAAGAGTTCTTGTCTTGTTGGACAAGTTAGGTCTACGGTTAGGAGCCTTATATAAAGGACTCCTCCTAGTTTATTTTCATTAGTTGATTATTGAATGAAAAATGAGATTGTGAGTTTTATCGAGAGAATATCTCGTTCGTTTATTTTTCCCACTCATATGCTTCCCCTACATCACCTAATTAAAAAAATATATTTATTTTTATTAAGAATATAATATTAAATTTATATTTAATGAGGAGATAATGGGTCCCATATATGTTATAAATGTGATTATATGTAAGTTAAAATAAAATGAAATGTATAAAAAAAATATGCTTATGACATTTGCCTTTATGGTTGGATGCATTTGAAATTCAAATTACAAATCAACTATCAAATTTTCAAAGAATTTAAAAAAAGTTCATAATTTTAGTAAAATTTAAAATTTTAAGCGGGTTTTACTTTCTACTTAAAGTAAATCTCTATTGCTATTTTATAATAATAGATTATAATCAATACACATCTATTTATTTAACTCCAATAACCTTTACATATATCTTATAATCTTATAATTTGTATTAACATTATTGTTTTAGTTAACCTATTATAGTATTAAAACATGTTTGTTATTGTAGTAGACTAGTAGTTTTGTCATTGTCGATAAACAATTAATTTGTTTTTTACTTCATTTTTTTTTATTTAAGAAATGGTCCATTAATTTGAACACAAGAAAAAATACCACTCAGATAATTCTTTTAGCCAAATTTGTAAAACAAAAGGTTTATTTTATTTATATATATATAATAAGAATTAACATTTTTCAAAAATAGTAGGTCAACTATATGGTCAAATTCACTTATCATTAATTACTTTCCATTAATGACATTTTTATTTAAGAACAAGGACAATATTAAATGCAATGGTTAGTTTGTTACAGTAATGACCACATAAATTTCGAAAACTTTTTTTTTTTAACAGGAATATGGCTAAGACATTTATTGTACACGGATTAATTATTTTTAAATATTTCCTTTTCAATGTTATCACTATTTTTATGGTATAATCCGATTTACATGGATTTGCTTGAAAGCTTAATTTATTATTTTTTCTATACACACACTAAAAATCTCGAATTAATATTTTACATTTAAGCCTATAATAATAACCAATGAAAAGCAGATTTAGTTATGTTATTAATTGGTATTATTTTATCAAATTTGTTACTATGTTTATTTTTTTATTAATATGCATAAAGTAAAAATAATTAATTCATCATTAGATATATAATTTATAATCTTAATATACTATCATTTGGTTTAGAAATTTATTATATGAATCATAAAATATTTTTATTTCATAAAATTAAATATATTTAAAGAAAATAAGGAAATTTCTTCGGATCAATCAGGTGATTGGATTTGGGTACTGTCCAGGTTGATTGAATTACTTTTAGGTGATATTTAGAATAGTAAAAAAACTTGACACAACAAGGATGGTCCTAGGTGACTAAGTTATGTATCAGTTTTATCGTACTAAATTGATTATTGAACCTAAATATAAATTTTAATATTGAAAATAATTTATTACGTGAATCATTGAATGTGATGTAGTCCAATTGTCCAAACTTCAAATAATCATATTAACAATACTTTTATGACAACATGTTTAATGATTAATGAATATTTATATATTATTTTATTAATATTTATGTGAATAAAATGATATTTTATTATAATTTTTATTAATGTACAGTGAATATGGTTTCCAGAATCGAACCGTCATCGAAAAGATCAAGTTATACTATTAAATTATTTGTGGTTTGTTCAGATTTTAATTTATAAACATTTTAATATATATATATATAGTACTTTTTGTGATAAATTTAAATAAAATGTGTTACTTAAATATCTAAACAATTTATTCAAATATTTAAACTAATTAATAAACAATTTATAAATCTCTATTTTATTTAAATATATAATTTTATTTAAAATAATTTTAAATGTAACAAAATTTATTTAAAAAATCATATCGATCCTACCAGTCCAACCGACTGGTGTTGATGGATTTGATAGCAAATATTTTATTTAAGCAAACTAGACTGGTTATGAACCGGTTCTCGATCCATCAGGTCGGACTGTGTCTAACCCGATTTAATTTAAAAACTAGTGTATATCCCGTGCGATGCACGGAAGAGCTCGTATTTTAAACATTTTTTAGACTTTATTTTAAATATAATTATTTATATTTTTCACATCTCGTCTATTATGAAAATAAAATAAATACAATCAATGAAAAATATATAATATTAAATACTTTTCTTTATACAATATTTTTTATTTAAGAAATATTATTAAACCTTACGGTTTTGATTTGTTTTTTTAAATCAATAATCCAAAATATATGATTGTTAACGTACAAAAAATAATGGAAATAATCCAGACTTTAAAGTAAAGCTATTTTTTATTATTTTACAAATAAAAATCTTCCAAATTTTTTTTAATTTCAAAAAAAATTTGGCAAGTTTGATAATGAGTTAAATCAAGTTATACAAATGATTAAATAGTTAAAATGTTATATTAATTATATTTTAAGAAATCCGATTATATAAAAATGGATAAAAAAATATTATACTAATTAGTTTGTCAGGATTGTGATTATATGAAAGTTAAAATAAAATGAAATGTAACCAAAAATTCTGTTCGTGGTTTTTTCCTAAATGTTTGAATTTAAAAATCTAGTAACCAAATTTACATTATATCACGTAAGGAAAAAAATAAATAATAAATATTTATTAAAGAGATAAATCAATAATATTTATCACTTAGATAATAAATAATAAATATTTACATGTAAAAAAATAAATTATAATATATTTAAAAATATAAGTCAGAATTTCAAATAAAGTAAAAGGAGGGATAACTCATTTTTTAAAAAAAGTTTCTAAATATTTAATATATTGATAAGTATCTCCATAAGAATAATCATACCATTTTAATTTTAAAAAAATTGACAAATTTGTTAGAGAGATAAATTCGGTTAGACAAATGATTAATTTGTTAAGATATTATATTAATTGTATCATAAAAAATCGGTTAGATAATGTAGATAAAAAAATATAATACTAATTAGTTTGTTAGAAATGTGATAATGAAAACCAAGATAAAATGAAATTTACCTAAAAAAATTGTTTGGAATCTTTTCCTTTAAATGTTTGAATTTACAAATTTAATACCGAAATTCTATTATATCACATAAGGAAAAAATAAATAATAAACGTTTATTAATATATTAAAATATGTAATTTTGAATTTCATATAAAGTAAAAGGTATGCTTATTCAAATTTATTTTTAAAATAAAAATTATGATAAACATTTATTGATTGTCTTTCCAATATATTAATAAAATAAAAATATAAATCTAAACAAATTTTGAAACAACCAAAAAAATCGAATTGATTGGCATAAAAAAAGGAAGTGAAATCGGATTTGAATGCTAAAATCGGAACACCTTACCAAATTGAATGCTAAAAGATTCGATTTGATTGGTTACCTAATTGCATGGGCTGAAAATTTCAAAAAAAAAAATTACAAATTGAAGAAGCGGGAAAACACTATATTGAAGCGGGAAAACGAAATGATTATTTTCGGATTGTTCAAATAATTTTTCTCTCCGTGTTATATAGTAATAGATATTGCAAGTTTTTTCAATTTATACTTTAGAATCTTTTTAGAATTTTATTTTCCAAATATGTAGTCCTTTAATCAGTATTAGTACGAATCTCGTGCTATGCACGGTAGGAGATATTATTAGGGAGATTAGATACCATATAGTAACACCTTTCTAGTTCTTATATAAATAGTAACACCTTTCTAGTTCTTATATAAATAATTAAATATTTATGTATTTTGGTTCTATTTTCTTTAACTAATACGAATCATGTGCTATGCAGGGGTAGGAGATATTTATTAATATATATAAATTAAAAATACATCTTAAATAATATTTATAACTTAAAAATATGGAATCAATTGTAATACAATTCACCTATATTAAATTTATTGAAAATGTTATATGAAATTTAAATTGTGCAAAATTATAAAAAACATGTCTATTTAAAATTAGTACACAACCCGTACGGTGAACGTAACTGATAATAAATTACAATATAATTTCAAAATAAGTGTCATTTTAAAATTTTCATTCAGAAATTCAATTTAAGTACAATGTAATTCCATAAAATAATAATTTTGATAAAATGTTATGAATATTTAAAAATTTATGTGAATAATAAGTACAATTATAAAACTATATTATTTCATTAACTAAATTGATTTTATTTTTGTATAAAATATCTAAATAAAAAAATTAAGTAGTTGAGTAATTTATTAAACTATAAATAATTGATTATTCTATTTACGTCCAAGTTAATACTAACCCGTAAGTTATTAAGAATAACTTATTTGACTTTTAAATTTGGAAACCAAATTTAGACTACACAATAAATTCTTTATACATATTATCTCTCAATTTTTTAATTTTATTTCGGTTACCTTATTGTTCAAATTTATCAACTAATTCTCTAAAATTAAATTAAAAATTGTAAATTTTATTAACTAATATTTGTTCAAAAATCTTTCTGATATTCAAAAGGAATACATATCAATTTGAAAAATTATCATCAAAATCGTGTTGGTTGATCAAATTTTTAAGGGAAATGATGTACGTATTGTATTATTTAAACTGTAAAGTTGTGAATTATTTGTAGAATAAATCAATTTGTAGTATATGAAATCCTCAATTTTTGGAATAAATCAATTCGTAGCTTTTGAGCCTACATTATATGGAATCCTCAATTTTTGAATTGTTATATTCTAAATAGTTTTATATTGAATAGCCACCACTATTGTGTGATTTTATGCATCATAACTGACTCATGAACCGACCTATCAAACATGTTGGGGTGAATCTATGAAGATATTATTTAACAAAATCAGTTAGTACTAATCACATTAATCGTAGTAGTTGAAATCCTCAATTTTAAAAAATATTTGAAGTGATATGTTTTTATCATGTTTAGGAAACTGGTACATTCTTTAATTAAAAAAAATCAATTTTAAACAGAAGACCAATATAATCGGTTAAAAAAAAGGAAGTCAAATATATTGCTAAAATAAAAATATGTTTTCCAAATGAAAAGGAACTTGAATTTATCCGATATGGAAGGAATCTCATCCAAAACATATTGAACTCATCCAAAACATACTGAATTTCGGAATTAAAAAAATTCAAACTTTCGAAAAAATTTCAAACAAAATATTAGAGGGAAAAAAGTGATTTGAGCGGTAAAATGAAATAATTTTTCAAATATTTTTTATTCTCTCTATTATATAGTTATAGATAATAGATAAATCATAATTATTATTGTTACTTATATATTTAATTTTTATTATAATTCTAATATTATTTTCCTGTGCATCGCACGGATCACGCACTAGTATTTACATCAACGATTATAAATTGATTAGCTTAAAAATCCATTAAAATTATATCGAAAAAATGAAAAACACAAACTACTTAAAACATTTCAAAATGAGCGCCATATAACAACGTCCTCATATTGTTCTTATTCAAAAAACCCTAGACCCAAAAATCGCCCGCCCATTCCCAAATTCGCATCCCGGCGATGACGGCCATCCCGAAGACGCCGGCGACGTTTGCCGTCACCCCCCACAAGCTCTCAATATGTGTTTTGGTTCAAGTGTACGCGCCGCCTTCGCAAACCTTGATCCCATTCCCCTTCTCGTCCGTCTCACAGCACAACCGTCTCGGCATATTCATCATATCACTCACAAAGGTGTTTAACAACCTATTCGTCTTCTGGTGACTTTATTTTTGTTCTGTGAGTTAAGAAATATGCAATTCAGTCATTTTTGTGTATGAATTGTGCAGACATGTGATGGGATTTCGGAGCCGACTCTGGACGAGTTGATTGCTCAGCTGAGGGAGATTGGTGGTTTGCTGAATCACTGGTTGAGTGACCATTTGACACGGAGGTTGTCGTCTCTGGCGTCCCCCGATGACTTGTTTAATCTTTTTGCTGATTTGCGAGGTAATATGTATTTTTAATATATTGGATGCAAAGTAGAGCTAATTATATTTTCTTCTGTGCAAAGTTACCATGAAACAGACGTGAAGTTGCTTAATGTGCAAGGACATCCTGTTTAATTGTATCCAAAGTCATTGTGAGAACTTCCTGCTCTTGTAGCAAGTGATTTAAATGGTTATATGTTGTTTTTTGGCATTCATGATTCCCATTTTACGTAGTTCCATCATACTTTTTGTTTTCATTATGTGTAAAGCTGCTCTTAGTTGAGTTGTTGCACTTGATCAGGTATTCTTGGGGGCTCCGACTCTAATGTTATGGATGATGATCAAATTATGCTCGACCCTAACAGTAGTATTGGGATGTTTATTCGGCGCTGCTTGCTTGCGTTCAATCAGATGTCATTTGAGGTATTTATCTGCAGCATTTTGTCTCTATTTGAACATGTTAGGGATCATATGTTCCAGTGTTTTCTTTTTGATACTTATGGTGTTCTCGTTGATGATCAATTACACAATCTCCGTATGGGAAATGGTTGTTTTGTCATATTGTGGCCATCTTGCTCCTAGATGTTACTAATCTGCTAGCTGTGGCTAGAATCTATGTGATTTAGTAGAGGGAAGGTGTCCCATCTCACGCCATAAACTGTCCGAGTTATTGATAAATGGTTGTTTGCTATCTTTAAGTATTTATCTGGTAGAGGTGCGTACCCCTCAAGTCTTAACCCAACATTAGTTTCCAAAACTAAATATGTGGGCTCAAGTGTGTTTGCTTCTCTGACCAAATGAAGGGGCCACAAATTTCTGCTAATGTGTGAATAATTTGTCAGAGAAGATCAAGGACCACTTGTTTTGAAGAATTGACACGCTACTCATTCTGCCATTTATTTTTTATGCCTGTAAACTTTTTTTAGACAATTAGGTAGTTATCATCTCATGTCTTTTTACGGTATACAGTGAACGGTATTGTGATTACAAGTAATGCTTTCTTAGTGTGGTGTTTATAGCTTGAGCTAGTCATATTTCAACTGCACGGTACTTTATGGGTAAGTGTAAGATAAATACAGTTCCAAACTGTGGTTTAAGACTTTATGATGAAATCAGAAATGCTTGTTACTCTACTAAGATTTATGTTCAAATTGTTTTGTACTAGAGTGTTTATACGTTATGGATGACATATCTGGCACTATTTTTCCTTTGCAGTGTGTGTGCCATCTCTTAACAAGTATAGGGACATATTGCAAGGAATCCCTCTCAGGATATCCTCCACATGGTTTATCGCATTTGGATGATTCTGTTAACGATCCGAATTCTTCATGCGAATCGGAGAATATGGAGATGGACAATTACGTATATGAGAAGGTTAGTGAAGATTTTGAAGAAACTAGAATAGGAATTGAAAGAACTCCTTTCCGTGGCCAGGCACCCGGAGTTTTCTCTGAATTAGTTAAAGGTATCGTTACTGGACTGATGATTTATCTATGAGCACTATCCTTTCGAGTATGCTTCCATCAACGTCATAGTATTGTGTAGTGTAAAAGCTTCCATGGTGCCAAAGAAGTGTGCAAAAGTATTTCATGTACATCTACTAAATATGAGCTTGTAACATTTTTCTCGTTTTGTTGTTACGATGGAAACACTGGCGAACATTCCATAGATACTTTATTTTTCTTCTACAGCCTTTTCTTTGTGAAATGACTAAATGTAAAACCAAAAGGATGTCTCACATCTTTGATTTCCCGTGGTCACTAAAAAGTAAAAACACTTTTTATATTCGTTTCTAGTACATTATTTTCATTCTCTCAAAATTTCGGTTTATTGGCACAGTATGATTTTCTACTGGTCATTATGTTTTCTGGTTATACCAAATCCAAATGACCGATCTTCTTTCATGAGATTTTATTATTATTATCATCATGTTATGAGGATCAAATACTGCTCATCTTGTACACTCTGATTCCATTATATGAGCTTTTTGGCATTTTAAATTTTATTTTGGACAGGTACTGGGGCCTCTTCGAGTGGATGGGCACAACATGCTGATACAAATGCAGCAGTTAGTTTTTCCGCGTTGTCTTCAAGTGATAGGTCTAGAGACATCGACTCCATTAGTGGCACTTTCCTGCATACAAATTGGCAGGTTCAAGGTTACCTATCAGAGCAAGCAGATGATATTGAGAAGTGAGTCATATTTAATTTTTCATGTCTAAAGTTGGACTTTGAAGTAATCACGGATTGGAGTTGAATAATTATTTCATTTTATAAAGCAATATCATGTTTAATAATTTCATTTTGTCGTAAATATTTGTCTTTTCGTGGCAGAAACGGAAACTCTTTCCCTTTAAATGCTTTTGAGTCTATACTAAAAAAGCTTCAGCAATTGGCACCTGAATTGCATCGAGTGAGTGCCATATTTTGGAGTTTTTAGGTGATCCAGCCTTTATATATTTACATAATTGAATGCATGATCAATCTGCTTGACTTAGACTATTACTGCCTTTCATGTTTTCATTGCAGGTTCACTACCTACGCTATTTAAATAACCTTTATCATGATGACTATCCGGGTGCATTGGAGAACCTTCACCGCTACTTTGATTATAGGTATACATTGGTGCATGTTTGCTCTCTTCTATTCTTACAACTTTCATCTTTCTTTTATTTTTGCATGACATATGCTTTGGTAATGAAAAACTCCCTGATGCAAATTGCGTAAAAAGTAAAACTAGGATAAGTCGAACAGAGGGCAAATTATGTGCAATTGCATTGTGGCTGGAAAATACATATTTTATTTGATGGGACAAGTGAGAGGAATCACAACTGGAACAACCTAAAATGAGCAGTCGTTTGGGCCACAGAAAGGCCAATTGCTTCTTTTAGCTTAAAAGTCGGTGGCTGAGTTATAGTTTTATATCTTCTTCAGTTGTTAAGCAAATCGATGTGTCTTTTGTACATATTCCATGTTCCAACATAATCATTCATCCATCGTGCCTAATCATCACTGTATGGGAATTCCTCTTAACTGGCGGCTTTAAAACTCGTGAATGAGTTTTAGATGTTTTATCCACTAATCATACATGTATTAATGCGTGCATGATTGAGCAATGATTACATTGATCATTTTTTTGCGCTTTTTAATAACCACTGTGTTCTTATGTAAAATCTTTTTTGATGTTAGGTTTGTTAAAAGAGTTCAGATTTGCTATCAATTTGCTCATCTTTTTGTAACATTATCCTTTTGCAATCATCTTATGTGGAAAATTATTTGTGATAAAGTGCAGGGACTGAAGGGGTAGAATGTGTCTCCCCTCCATCTGGATGCAGTAGCTTCGGAAGATATGAAGTTGCTTTGCTGTGTTTGGGAATGATGCATTTTCACTTGGGGCACCCAAAGCAGGCTTTGGAAGTGAGCATATTTAAACTCAATCACTGTTGTCCTTATAGATTCCATTTTTTGTGATTTTTTGCTGATAATAAGCTTTTTCATTTTTCATTTTGCTGTTTAAGACCCACCCTATCATTTAGGTTGGAAACAAAGTAGCTAATTATTTTCTTTATATGTTCAGGTTTTAAGTGAAGCAGTTCGAGTCTCCCAGCAGGTGCTTTTCTTATTTTTGTTGTTTATGTTAGTTTTTTATTTATTCCAGTTCTTCTATGCATTCATACTTTATTTTATTGAGTGGGATTGGCTAAGCCACATTGTTATTTTATATATATATATATATATATCNAATCTAACTTTGTTCCATCCCCTTTTAAGTTTTAACTATATATTCTTGAGTAAGCGAATAACTCATACTTGTGCTAGTAAAGGATCGAGCCCCTCTGAGATTGTTGGGTTTGAATTAAAGAAGATTAAATTCATTGTGATGGTATTGGACTTTTCATGTTGTTGCCTTTTTGGTAGTCAAAGGCTGAACATGTAATCTAAACTGCCCGTCTGATTATTCATTTGTGACCCTATCCTTGTCTTCTAATTGTCTAATTTGTCTCAACTGTGCAGTACAGCGATGACACATGTCTTTCATACACGCTGGTGGCGATAGCTAACCTCTTGTCTGAAATAGGAATATCAGAAACACGTGGAATTATGGGATCATCGTACTGGCCTGTTGCTGATATAGGCACTTCGCTGTCTGTCCAACAACAGTTATATGTCCTGTTAAGGAGATCTCTTAAGAGGGCAGAAAGCCTAAAGTTGAAGCGACTAGTGGCATCTATACATCTTGAAATTGCTAAATACGACATAACGGTAAATATTCTTTCACGCCTTTGTTTTAGACAGTGTCCAATGGTATATTAGTTGAAACCTATTTAGTAATTTGATGGGCATTGTACACTTCTGTGAAGTTGACCAGAACACATGTTATTTTATGTGCCCTCCATAGGCTCCATCTGCCAATGGTTTTGACTGAAAATTGTGGCTGGTTCCAGAATCTCTATCAACATGGGTTGAAGCATTTGGGGATATTGTGATAATCTAACCACCATTGGCTCGAAATGATCATATTGTTGTTTCTGATATACTGGGGACACTGCCGATGTGACATGCCTTAAAACACATTTATATGTATTATAATACAATTTAAAGACTGAAATTCCTTTGACACGTCTCATAATGTGTGTGGCATGTTTGAGAAGAGAAAAGTAAATGCAGTGTTATGATGCCACCGTGGCAGTATAGCGTAGTGGATATCTGCTAAACCGTCATGCTAAATTTGTGAAGGATGGCAGTTATGGCGGCACCACGGTGGAATTTTGGCCTGTCGGCATTTTCCCCCATCCGCCATTTGCCATGATAACACTGAGTATGTGAGCAAAATAACACCTCCTTATATAAATACCATGTTGGACAGTTCTTGGGTCATGTGGTATTACATAAATACCCTGTTGGGCAGTTCTCCGGTCATGAGTTGCCACATTTGCATCCTTATATGCGTCGTAGTTGGTCATGTCATATAGTTTTTGACATGGCCAGGAGTAATTAACATAGCATTTTATATATTCTGTATGAAACTGTTGTTGTTATGTCCTTGGATTCTCGTGGACTTGATGAGTTGTAGGACATGGATACGATGCAGTGAGAATGATAGGTATTCATGTGCGGAAGTATGTAGTAGTCCTAGCCTACATTTGTTTTAGGAGGAAAACAGTAATTATTTTGCAAGTTATTTGGTAGGATGTCACTTTGCAACGTGATATATCAGCATTTTGTGCCAGTTTGCCTAGTTAACACCAGTGTTGACCGAGCCTGAGTTTGGCCTGGGCCCTTAATGTTCCATAATGAAATTGCTGTAGGGTGGTTTGTATATGTGTTACTGAGAATCAGTTACAGATTATTATGTATCTTTTGTGCATATATGTAAATAAACCTATCATGGTCGAGAGTCCCCTTATTGGAATAATAAAATGGCTTTTCCTACATTAAACAATACTTTATGTAATATTTCATAGACTTATGTTGGCATTGTTTTTGAGGAAGGAAATCTGAATGGCATTATTTTGTTCTGCAGCATGTCCAAAGACCATTGGTTTCATTTGGCCCAAAGACTTCCATGAAGCTTAGAACTTACCCCGCTAATGTCTATAAGGTTCTTTCTGTTAGATCATTCAGTGTTTATGGAACTCTCCCAAGTTTCTTCTATGACATGTCCCCTTTCTTTTATTTTTCATGCATTGCTCAGGAATTATGGCTAAGTTCTCATCTAATTAACGAGTTTAGTGAGGAAACTTCAGTCATGACTGCTGATGGTGCTTTCTGCACGGCTTGGCTGAAAAGTTTGAGAAAACCATCAGGCTCGTTAGTTCTTATCCAAGCAAATGAAACTAGGAGCCACACAGATGCATTTCAGTTTTCAGCACAGCCAAACTCTATTCCTGGTTCAGTTTTACAGTTAGTAGGGTCTTCCTATTTAATTCGTGCTGGTTCATGGGAGACGTATGGCAGGTGATTTGTTGGAGCCCTCTTCGAGATAATTTGTACTTGAATTTTGAAAAAATTATGGAAGTCCTTCAATGTACAATTCGTGATTGTATATTTATCTTGTCTATTGCCTTTATCTTATTTTACTATCTTTTATATCCAGTGCTCCTCTAGCTCGAATAAATGCGCTGGTATTTGCTACTTGCTTCTCAGATTCTTCGAGGTACTTGCTACTATTGCCTGGATCTTCACCAGCTGCTTCTTTTTGCCTATATCATCTGCTAATGAATATCAACTTTTAAGATACAAGCATGTTGTGATTCCACAGTGTATCCGATGCTGCATTAGCCTACTCCAAGCTCATCCAACATTTGGCTGTGTATAAAGGCTACAAAGGTTGGACATCGGATATATGTGCCTAGACAGACCCCTCTCTCGCACACACGCATAGAGCTCTGAGTTACTAACTTTTGGTTTCGTTAATATCATTTTCTTATTCCTGATTCAAGATCTGCAGTGGTCTATTTTTTTCCTTTTTTTTTGGGTAATATATCAAAAATATTACTTAAGCACTGATATGTAGTTGCGTAATATGAATGTTTCATAGAATCCCGTGAAACTAGTTTAGTATCCCAATTTGTCTTTGNGGCCTTCTGACAACTCTCATGTACTACTTTCTCATTCTATTTCTTGGATTCCGTCCTATAACAGATGCTTTTGCTGCTCTGAAAATAGCAGAAGAAAAGTTTACGTGTGTTTCAGAATCCAGAATCCTGGTAGTGAAACTACAGTTGTTGCATGAGTGCGCTTTACACAGGTATTGCACGTTTACTTTGAACATTATTGTCCGGTGAGTACATGTTACATGGAGATAGTTCATTGTTTCTTTGGTTATCGACTTCCACAGGGGACATTTAAAACTAGCTCAAAACTTCTGTGATGAGCTTGGGGTTTTGGCTTCTCCTGTTACTGGTGTGGATATGGAGCTAAAAGCTGAAGCTAGCCTACGTCATGCTCGAACTTTACTTGCTGCAAAGCAGTATAGCCAGGTTAGTATCTCCTCCACATATTTGTACTTAATGAAATGCTTGAGAATCTTGATGTGGTGCTTCTTATGGCCTTTGGATGGTGTAACATGATAAAACCATGTTTTATTGTTGAATAGTATTCCTATTTCTTTATTGAAATTCTGAAAATTCAGGATATCAGTAAAGGCCTAGAGAAACTTGCTCTATCATTTTTCGTTTTACTTGTTGAAATTTCCGTACACAGTGACATTTAATGTAATGCGTGAATTTAGTCCAAGCAGACAAAATAGTTGCCGTCTTCTCATTTCTGATGCATAAGAGCATCTTTAACAATAACTTTTGGATGAGGTTTAAAAACACAAACCTTAGGTTTTGCTACTAGAGAGGAGAGGTTTGAGGTTTATAAACACAAACCAGGTTTAGTTCTACAAACCTCCCTCAAACCTCTTAAAATTAAATTTAAAAAATACATAACGGATTGAAAATAAGAAAGTGGGGTTCACAGTTTCATCCACACGCTTAATCTTTGGGAAAGTGTAGTCCAATTGCTAAAAATGGAGTGGAGAGACTATGGTTCACTAGTGAACACCCATGTGCCTTCTTTTTATTTTGTTTTTTCGTTACTTTCGAAATTTGTGAGGTAAACTATGTTTTAAAAAAAATGTTCTCTTTTCTTTATTTATTTTACTTACGTTTTCTTTTACTTTAATCTTTAAAATATATTTCTAATTTAGTTTTTATTTTTTAATAATTCATTAACTTATTTTAAAAAATATTTTCTACAATCTTTTTCATTTTCTTTCTTTTGAAGATTTTTAATTTCTCTTAAATTCTTTTAAACAAAATTAAATTTTATCCTAATAATACGTTAATAACTGAAAAATTAAATTACAAAATTTATATGTAAATATATGAAATATTTAGATTGAATAAAGTTATGAAATTACAAAATTTATATTAAATTTTTTATATGTATTTATGATAAATATATGAAATATTTAGATTGAATAAAAATAAAATGGAGTTATAGTTTTAAAATATTAATAAAAATATAAAAGTATAATATTAATTAAAAGTAGTGAGAAACATGTGGGACCCATAAAATAAAGGTTTATGAGGTTTATTGTTATTGGAGGTTTTGAGTGTAGGAGTAAGAATGAGGTTTTGGATGATGTGGCATGTTGGAAAGTGTAAAAGGAGGTTTAGGAAGGTTTATGATTAAAGATGCTCTAAGTTGTTTTGGCAGGCAGCAGCAGTTGCTAACTCTCTATTCTCCATGTGCTACAAGTTTAACATGCAAGTAAAAAATGCCACTGTTCTCCTATTGCTTGCAGAGATACACATGGTATGTAGAATTAATTGGCACTTGAACCCTTTTTCCAACTTCTCTCTGTTGCAGGAATAGAATAGTGACTAACTTATTGTATATGATGATTATGATTATTTGATATGATGCCTCCCATTCGACATTTCATCATATCAAAGACTCAAACTACGTGGTATCTGTGTTTTGCTGATTTTATTTTTTATTTGCACACTTCTATGTCGATTACAGAAGTCAGGCAATGCTGTTTTGGGAATTCCATACGCTTTGGCTAGTCTTTCATTTTGTCAGTCATTTAACCTTGATCTTCTCAAAGCCTCTGCAACCCTAATTCTAGCTCAGTTATGGCTCTCTCTTGGATCCAATCATGCAATAAAGGCTTTGTCCCTTCTACATAGTTCTTTCCCGATGCTTCTTGGTCATGGTGGCTTGGAGCTTCGTGCTCGAGCATTTATAACAGAAGCAAAATGCTATTTAGCAGACCCAAGCTTTTCAGGTAATAATAATATCATAAGCTTTCTGCACCATTGCTAAGAAAAGGGAGTAAAAATATTTCGTTGTGCGACATATTTGAAATGGTTTTTTGTTTCTTAAACTTGTTGTAATTCCTCTTTCCGTTCATTAGTTTCGGAAAACTCGGACATGGTTTTAGAACCTCTGCAGCAAGCTTCAGAAGAACTTCAACTTTTGGAGGTTGATTAATTTCCGAACTTAAACCATTAATAGCCTCCATTCATCACTCTCATCATAAACATCGAGATTCCAAAACAATCAAAATTGTCTGTGCAGTATCACGAGTTGGCCTCGGAAGCTTTCTACTTGATGGCCATTGTATATGACATGCTTGGGCAATTGGACGACAGGGAAGCTGCAGCATCTTCGTTTAGGAAACATATTACAGCACTTGAGAACCCACAAGACATGGATTATTCTCTCTACTGTTTGTCGTAAAAGAAGGTAACATTTGCTATATCTGAACAGCATATATGTTATGTTAATTGTTAAGTAACTAAATAATGAAATTAGTTGGCCAAAGGTAAATGTTGTTGTTTGATTTAATTCTAGCACGTGATCTAATTCTGATTTTTTTTTTGTTAGCTTTAGTTTTGATACATTAAAATCCCTATTGCACGTATACTGATGCTGATATTCTTCTTTTTGTATATTTTCTTTTGAATTAAAATACTGTCTGTGTGCAATGTTGAACTTGAACCACAGGATGAGGAGGCTGGTCGAGGATTTACATGCTATCAATTTGGTTGTGGCCAGTTTTATAAATTTTGTTTTTCTTTTTTGCTTTTTAATTTTTGTGGATTTATTATTTCTTAGTTCTTTTGTATCTTTTTCTTGGTGTATGAATGGTCTGTGGAATTAACACATGTATATTTAAGCGGTGACGACATTGACTTAGCATGTTTAGTTGTGTTGTTGTATGAAATTAACAATGAAAAATTACAAACAGCTGAGTATGTTTAAACAAAGCTTAAAGTAAAATTTGATTTTATTTGATATTGTCACAAGAGTACAGGAATCGGTTTTTTATTGTAAACCGAGGTCATCTCAAGTCCATGTACAATGTGTCGAAAAAGATCTTCGTACTATCATAAATTCTGCTATTTATAGTACGGTAATTTTTATCTTCTTGCTCGAAATGGATAAGGACATATTTAATGTTGAGCTGCTTTACTTTAAGCGGTGGGAAACATCAATGATTACTTTTTCGTTTTGCTGGTCCAATCAAATGCTTCCAGCTTTGTTTTCTGCTTGCTTTGTGGTAGTCGGTTTGAATAGAGGAAACTTGATTCGTCTCGTCATAATATTTGTTGAACTGAAGTCGGTTTACTCGCATCTGTTTCAATAGTCGGTTCCTTCGACAATTTCAGAAGTCGGTGATTTCTCAGAAGTCGGTAATTAATTCAATGAATACCGACTTATCCTAAGTTCGTCTTCTTCTGGAGGATTATTTCTTTAATGAAGTGATTAATCTCTGTCTCCAATTATGTAATCAAGTCGGATATCAACAAGTTGAATAACATAAAATCAGTTAAATTATTGTTGAATTGATGAAAATATATTATGACGTGTTGAATTCCAAAATCAATTTACTAATAGCGTATCTATCATTAAAGACCTTAAGTATTTGTCATTTCAATTTGGATAATTCCAACGATAATTGTCAATGAATGCCAAAAATATTATAAACACAGACGAAATATGTAGTGTATAAATAGAGATTTCATTTTAGTTATCCAAAAATATATCAAATTGTATAAACATAGAATTAGAGTTTTGTCCTAATTTAAACTTTTATTTCGTTGATTAGTTTTTTTTTTTTTAAATTGGAAAACATTGAGGCGGTTTGAAAATATATTCTACTATGTTATTATTGTATCTTGTCCTTATCTAAAACCTATTATTTCGTTGATTGACGTGAGGAAACCAACCTATAAGTTGGTTCGTTGGTTCATTCCTAGAATGAATGATTGATTGATTAATTAAAAATTAATGGCGCTTCCGCCGGATATGTTGGTGGAGATCCTGACGAGGCTTCCGTCCAAAACTCTGATCCGCTTGAAGCTGGTATCCAAGTCGTGGCACGCCCTCATCTCCTCCCCTGACTTTATCCGGTGGCACCTCCGCATCTCCCGCTCCGACCCCTCGAGGCAATCCATCGTCGTCCGCATCCCTCTCGCTGGCCAGGGGGACCTGACCAAGGCGTTCGACCCCTCGACCCTCGAGGAAATCCCGGTCCCCACCAGGGCCCTCGGGGAACCACTCCTCGCCACATACAACGGGCTCACGTGCCCCCTCCCCGGCGAAGACCCTCTCCGCCTGCGGAACCCTTCCACGGGGAACCTTCGAGAGCTCCCTCGGTGCCCGCGCCATGACCTCTCGGACGCCCGTTCCGTCGTTCTCGGCCCCATCGCCCCCGGCGGCCACCCCCTCGACATGAGGGTGGCTGTCATCGGCGTCACGTCGGGTGCCACATGGGCGGAGGTGTGGTCCGCGCGCACAGGTGCGTGGACGGAGGTCGGCCTCGGTGGCCGTGTCTTCACCCCGGCCTATGGCCCCGGTGCCGTCCGCAAGGGCGTTGCCTACTGGACGGTCGAGGACGGCACTGCCCTCGACCGGCGGCTGCGGTTCACCAGGATCGGCGACGGCGGCGGCACGGCCCGTGTGGCAGCGCTCGACCTTGCCGACACCACCTCCTTCCGTTTATTAGAGGTGCCCCAAGGGTGGGCCAAGGCGGGCAAATACCCCATGAGGATCCGACCGCTGATATGGGCTGGGAGCATTGCGCTGCTAGTGTACAACATGTCGGTACATGAGATATGGGTATTAGAAAGGGAGAAGGAGTGCGGTTGGACGAGGTACAAGTTCGGAGAAAGGGAGAAGGAGTGCGGTTGGATGAGGTACAAGTTCGGCCCGTTCAGTGGCATCGGCTACACAATGCTCACACTGCGGGAGGACGGCAGATTTCTGGTGTTCGACACCATGCTTAAAGTGGTATTGCGTGACCTCTGGACAAACAAGGACATAACAGTGTTTGATCGACCCAACTTTGAAAAGCAGGAACTAATCTTCACCGCACAGTACTGTGTGGAGAGCTTGTTATGATGATGGACGATGACCCATTGACTATTATAATTCATGCATTCATGTATCNATATATTAATGTAAGACTGATAGTTTATTTATCGTTATATTTACTTACCTATTTTGTGTGAATCCCTTATATTTTCTCTAATTTTTCATCTTTAATTACATCATAAAATACGTTTTAACCCCCAATTTAACCGCCTAATATATAAAAAAAGGATTATAAAAGACCTTCCCGGGTTAAGGTTTTTTCTCAAATATTGTTTTTCTCTCGTTCTATACACATTCATAATCCTTGTCTAGCTAAGGGTGGCTCAATCGACCGTCTTTCTCTTGTTCTAATCGGTTGGAACAAAGGGCAGCTCAGCCGTCCCTTTCGTTTTCGATCACTCCGTTCCTCTGCCCAAATGAAATTCCCTTAAAGGTGTCCACACACCATCTCTTTGCTTCCTCACACCACAAAAAATCACATCTGGCCAAATTTCATATCAGCCCACATTCGATAAAAATACAAATTGATTAGCCCACCCTCAAAGGGAATAGAACTACCCAATCTAAAATAGCAGCCCTGTCTTCCTCAGCACTTACTAATGCAAATGGTCGAGCAATCAATCTATGACAAAGATGCCAACAAAAAACTCACAAAGGCTTCCAAATACACATGTACAGATTAGCAAAATTTCTATATTTTAGATGTGTATAGGTTGGCAAATTTACATATGTTCAATATTCTCCTATTGATGAGAATTTCATGACAACTTTGCACACGAATTATTGTGCTTTTAACACAATCGCTATATTGACGCTTTTAACATGATCGATGCACTACGTATGTAATTTTAATGAGATCACCATACTTAGGCAATGTTGGACTAAGATGCAATCATTCCACCGACGCCAATTTTATATCTGACGATGATGACGAATTCAAGACTCTATAAGTTGCGATCCAACTTATGATGATCCTCAAATGAAGGAGCGCATACCCATAACGATTTCTCAGTTGTTGAATGATCTCTTTATCTAGATTCCTTTGTGTGATTGTCAAAAGATTTCTTCAAGACCAAAAAAATGAGAAGAAAAACATTTTAAGCTCCTAAAAACACGTCAAGACAATCTTACAATGCGCATCCTATAAAAAAGACCATCAAAAGGGCGATCTTGCAAACCGATGTATCTCACCTAAACATAAGAGTCAATCTCATAGTTATTAAGCTCCACCAATTAAGGACAATCTCGTAAAGGACAACCTTTCCTAAATGAAAAGAAACAAGTAAGGGCAAAATTATACGCAAGAACCTGACCTATTACCGCACTGCACCATCAATCATGACGCGATCAGAGAAAACAGTGGCATCTCTCAAGAAGGCGCCTAGTCTCACAAAAAGTGGCTCCTGAAGAAGTCGGTCTCATAAACAAAATCAAACAAGACAAGACATGCATGCTCTTAGAAGTATGACGTACTGATCTACATGAAAGACGGATATTAATTAATGTCTCTAAAGGAGCAATCGCTAAGTGTTGCCTTGCAAAAGAACAATCCCTAATCGATTACAAAATCTCTCAAAATTCTTACCTCCAATACCAAATCTACTTTTTCAATGCCTTGTCGATCCTTTGGCGAAAACCAATATAAACTCCCCAAAATTTTGCTTATATCCTTATTAATTCTTAGTGAATGGAAAATAATAATAATAAAAATAATAACTTGGGTGAAGACGAGAAAACTTTCTATCCATCACTTATGACCCAAAGACAATCATTTTTGACTTGGTACTCTATCAATCCATGGGAAAAATCAAACACTTTATTTTCTCTCCAAGAAATGCCAACACTTTAATTACAAATTCCAAACCCGTGGAGTGTAAACATTCAAGCTCATGGTCGGAGACATTAACCATCAAATCTCCATCTCATAACTCCTACTTTTAACGCACAAACCCGTGTAAACGGGAAACTAAAAAACTCGCGTAAACACTGGCTGCAAATTCAAAAACTCATGTAAACGCCCATGGTAAACTCAAAAACTTGCATAAACGCTTACGGTAAACTCAAAAACCCACGTACGATACTCCCAAAAACCCGTGTAAGCACTCTTTATAATCTTCAAAAATTGCGGTCCGCCGATGTAAGTTATTAGCATAAAAAAAATTAAAATATTTTTAATATATATTGTTATCAATCGGTGTTGAACTGTCATATTAATTATTATATAGAATGAAAATTTTAAATATTTATAATATATATTATTATAAATTATAATAAAATAAATAATTTTGATGTAATTAAAATTTTAAAAAGTTATACCTTTAAAATAATATATTCTATAATATTTTTAAATTAAGTGTCGGTTTATTATATTTGCCACAATTTTTAAATTTTACCGTCACTTGTTTAGGATTCGAAATAATATTTTATAAAGGATATGAGTAAGGAAAGAGATACAAAAATATTTTGTGAGTATTCTTTAATTTTAATCAAGAACTCTAAAATCACAATTATTTTATAAGAGGTGATCTAAACATATAAATCATACATTAAAGTATTCTATATCATAAGAATAAAAGAAAATGTAAAAAATAATATTAATATTTAAAAGTATTTTTATACTAATCAATATTTCTTAATTTCTTTAATTTATATAATTATCATTAATGCCTCGTGCATCGTGTTGTAGTTATTTTTACCGGAGTTAATTCAAAAGAATCAATCCTTGGTCATATCACATGGAAGGCCATTTAAATTATTTTGTACATCTATATCTATATAAAAAGGTTTGATTATTTTTAAAATAGTAATTATTTTCCGCCAAAAAAATATTATTTACTATATTAAAAAATTAATAGAGTAATTTATGGTATAAAGTGGATGAAATGTTTTTTCTATAAAATTTTATTGGGATATTTAATTTTTGGTATGAAAAATCATCACAATGTATTTGGAAGTGTTTCTAAACCAAATAATTTACCAATTAAAAACACTTTACCCTAAAAAGTAAAATATAAATTAGATATAACAAAAAATTGTGATTGCTTTTTACCTGAAATGAACCCATTATTTGTCAAAATTGTACACCATTCAATTTTTATGCATATTTAGACTAAAACTACAATTTTGGAATTCATTTGGGATCAATTGGTAGACTATTTTCTATCTTATTCAAAAAGATCATCCTACAATTTTGAAACTAATTTGCAATCAGATCAATGGGTAGAATAATTTTTATCTAATTTAATAATTCGTGTTAATTTAGGATTTTTTTTTACCATTAATTCCGATTAATTAAATCCCGTAAATTGTAGAATTTTAGTTCGTTAATATTTGAAATGCTAATCTGCTTAGTATGTCTTTGTAAAATAGAATGTATTTCTTTTGAAAATCAAAATGATCCTTGATGAAATATTAGTTAATAAAATTTAAAAATTGTAATTTAATTATAAAAATTTAGTTGATAAATTTGAACGAGAAGGTAAACGACAACAGATCTAGACAATTTACGAGGTTATATATATATATATATATATATATATATAGGGGATGGATCCAATGAGACCACTCCTTAAAATGAGTACGTGAGACTCAATCTTAGCCACTCATTTTGTGTAGATCAAAATCAATTAAAATATACATTAATTAAATAATAAAATAATTATCAGTTGACTCTGACGTTGACCGTTGACTTCCGGTGTTGACTTCCGACAAGAATCGTTGACTTCCGGCGTTGACCGTTGACTTCCGGCATTGGCCGTTGACTTTCGGCGTTGACCCGTTGCATTCAAATAAATAACCTAGCAACAAAAGACACTCAACCTTGAGTGGTGTAGTGGTTGCATTGCTTGTCTTGCTTCCATGAAGTAGCAGGTTCAAATCTTATGGGTTACAATTTTTTTATAAAAAAAAAATACAACTAATTTAGCAGCATCAGACAACTAACCTAGCAACAAAACACAACTAGCTTAACTAACCTAGCAACAAAAGACAACTAACATCAGACAACTAACCTAGCAACAAAACACAACTAGCTTAAGTAACCTAGCAACAAAAGACAACTAACCAACAACAAAAGACAACGACAACTAACCTAGCAACAAAACACAACTAGCTTAACTAACCTAGCAACAAAAGACAACTAACCAACAACAAAAGACAACTAACTTAGCAGCATCAGACAACTAACCTAGCAACAAAACACAACTAGCTTAACTAACCTACCAATAAAAGACAACTAACATCAGACAACTAACCTAGCAACAAAACACAACTAGCTTAA